GAGGTGTGGAGTTACAGAGCATCTCCCCCCAAAATAATTAATCAGCATGAGTAAAGGTAGCTTCATTTGGCCCTGTCCCCAAGAGGAAGTATCCACTGATTTTTTAAATTAAAGATAATGAACATAAACCAAGTTTTATGTTAAGTACATATCTTTCACTTTATAGTCACATCAAAAATATGTATAAGTTGCAAGTTATGACAGGCTCTGGGAAGAAACAAGACATAAGAAAGCTTCCTTCTGTGCCAGTAGTGCTCTCGTAAAGGTGGTGAATGTTCCTAAAATCTGCTAGACTTTCTGTACGAAGTGTGGCAAGCGCCAACTGCAGAAAGTGACACAGTACAAGAGAAGCAAGGATTCTCTGTGTGCGCGGGGAAAGGAAGCAGAGTGCCTATGGTGGGCAGACTAAGCCAATTTTCCAGAAAAAGGCTAAAACTACAAAAAAAGACTCTACGGAAGCTTGAATGTGCTGAACCCAACTGCAGATCTAGTATTAGTCATTCAGTCGTGTCTGACTCTTTGTGACCCTATGTACTGTACACCGCTGGGCTCCTCTATCCATGAGATTCTCCAGGCAAGAATACTGGAGTGGGTTGCCATTTCCTCCTCCAGGGGATCTTCCCCACCCAGGGATCAAACCTGAGTCTCCCACATTGTGGGCAGATTCCTTAGTGCTGAGCCACCTGGGAAGTAGATCTAAGAGATTGCTGACTATTAAGAGATGCGAGCATTTCTGAGCTGGGAGGAGATAAGAAAGGGCCAACTGACCAAGTTTTGAGCTTCATATTTTGTTTTATTATGAAGACAATAAAAATTTGAAATTGTTTACTTGTACAAAACACAATATCAGGCACACACACATAGCACACACACACTCCAGAAGTGACACAGTGAGACTTGAAAAAGCAATAGAAAAAGAGACAATGACAGGCCCATCAGGAGATGAACTTTGGAATAACATCACTGTCTTATCATCTGATTTCATTCTGCCTTGAGGGTAGTTACCCTCAGGCAACTGCTAACTTATCTAAAAACATTTGCCCAAAAAAAAAAAATTGTTTTAAGGATCCCAAAACTCAAACTCTTCTACCTAGACTAATTGATCCATCATTAAAAGAGTGACAACTAGACATTATGTGTCTCCAGAGGTGATGCAATAAGAAGACATAGCACCATCTATGAAATATCTTGGACTAACTGATCTTGGACTGAAAGTGTAAAAATACAAGAATAAGAGAGTAAGTTAAACCTCACCACAAGGAAGTAATCAACCTATCTAGAATGTGGGAAACAACATAGGGAAAATGGGAAGGAAAAAAAAAAACGTGGGAGAGAGGGAACTCATACAATTTAAAAGAGATTTGACATACATTGACATGAATCAGCCATGGATTTACATGTGTTGGCAAAAACCACTACAATATTGTAAAGTAATTAGCTTCCAACAAATAAAAATAAATGGAAAAATAAAATAAAATAAATAAAATAAAAGAGATTTGAAAGACCTGTTGGGCTTCTCTTGTGCTCAGTAGTAAAGAATCCACCTATCAATGCAGGAAACTCAGGTTAGATCCTTGACCAGGGAAGATCCTCTGGAGAAGGAAATGGCAACCCACTCCAGTATTCTTGCCTGGAGAATCCTATGGAGGATAGAGGAACCTGCAGGCTATAGGCCATTGGGCCTAAAAAGAGTCAGATATGACTTAGCCACTAAATAAGAGCAACAAGGAAAAATCACTGAGCTAGGGAATCATCACTTAGATGTGCCCATAAGTGACACATATGACATGATGTCTAAGATTTGCTTTTAAATACTCTAGCTAAAAAAAGAAAATGTTGTGTGAATACCTGAAACTTAATTAGATCATTTTTATTTTAGTTGATTCTGGATGGTGAGCAAACAAGGATTCAGAATAGCATTCTCTTTACTTCTGTGTATGTTTGATTTTTATCTGTTAATAAAAACCTCAGGCACAGTTGTCAACAAGCTTTCCTTTCAATGCCTACTTTCAAAGTTGCTTTACTGTCCTCTTAGAAAACTCCTTGCAGGCGTATTTCCTGTTGCCTGAAGAAACACTCCAGAATTCCTACCAGGAATCCTTGGAACAGTCTCAGCCTACTTCACTGTTTTTTCAGTCCATGTTGCTAAAACCCCAGAGGAGAAAAGAGTACCTATATGGGGCTTCCCTGGTGGTCCAGTGGTTAAGATTCCATCTTGCAATGCAAAGAACACCTGTTCGATTCCTGGTCCAAGAGGATCCGATTTGCCAAGAAAAACTAAGCCCATGTACCACAACTACTGAGCCTGTGCTCTAGAGACTGAAAGCCACAACTACTGAAGCTCATGTGCCCTAAAGCCTGTGCTCTGCAAGAAGGAAGCCACCACAATGAGAAGCTTGTGCACCGCACCAAGGAGTAGCCCTCACTCACTGCAACTAGAGGAAATGTTCCCCCAAAAATTAAGTCTGTCACTGTTCCCCCATCTATTTGCCATGAAGTAATGGGACCAGTTGCCAGAATCTTAGTTTTCTGAATGTTGAGTTTTAAGTCAACTTTTTCACTTCCCTCTTTCACTTTCATTGTCTGAAAGATAAATGTAGGGAAGTGAGCGTAAGATGAACTGGGGGTGTGGATTGGCGTATATACATTATTGGCACTACGTATAAAACGGACAACTCAGTGAGAATGTGCTATACGGCACAGGGAACGCTACTGAGTGTTCTGCGGTGACCTAAATGGGAAGGAAGTCCGAAAAAGAAGAGATACGTGTATATGTATAGCTGATTCCCTTTGCCGTATAATAGAAACTAACACATCACTGTAAGTCAACTATACTCCAATAAAAATTAATCTTTTAAAAAAAGGTAAAAATTAAAAAGATTTTTAAAAAGAAGGATCAATGAGCAGGTACCTAGACATTCCCCTAACTGCCCACCCCCCACCACTACCACCAATACTGTCGCTAACAAAGAAAGCAAACATCCTCCCCTACTGCCTATCCCATTCTAGAAGTCACCTGTTGGATGGATGAATGAATGAACCTCCACAACTTGACTCTCCCTTCGGACTAAAAGATTTCTAAAACCACAAAAATTCCACCATTTAATTTCACCCTTTTATCTTTCCTTGTTAAACTGCAGTGGGGTAAAAGGGCTAGGCGTTTGGGCTACATCTTTCAGAATGCAGAGAAATAGGAGCACAGAGAAAATGTGATAAGTAGTTAGGAGGGAACTGATGGGTCCCACTCCTGAGGGGTGAGAAGGGAACAGAATTTACAGGGATAAGGGTGGCTACCAAAATGCAAAACTGGAAAATTGGACCTTTTTTTCAGCTATTTCAAGTTATGACTAAAAAGTCTATATTCCAAGTCATAGAGAGAGTCATCAAACTGAGTTAATGGGAGAGAACTGCTGGATGGGGAGATAAAACAAGCATGAAAGACAGTCTACACCGGCACCCTGCTTATAATTTAGTTGGAGGGAGAAAACTTACGGAGTTGAATGAAACAGTCGGAGCAAGGTTACTTTGAGGCTGAATGCTGTTCACCCCACATGGGGTCCAGTCATAGTATGTGAGTTGCCATGAGCAGGATGAGCAAGCAACACCGCTGAGGTGGAAGTGGGGACTTCAAGGAGAAGAAATATCCACTGACCTCAAAGATAAGTAGGTTTGGACCAGCTAAGACTTCTCACAAGAAAGAAACAGGGCAAAAGTATGCAACAAATATATGCCGGGTGCCAGTTACGTGGCAGACACTGTGTTGAGGCTGATACTATATGAAGATGCTGTAACTAAAGCCCTTGCCTTCCCAAGGCTAATTGCCTGTTACGGAGTCTGAAATGTGCAGCATCTTTATCAAATGTGTGGAGACAAGGACAACTGGAGAAGAGAGTGTGTATTCCAGAGAAACAGAATCAATAGGGTGTGTGTGTGTGTGTGTGTGTGTGTGTGTGTGTGTGTAGAGAGAGAGAGAGAGATTTTAAGAAATCTGCTCATGTGATTATGGGGTTGGCAAGTCTAAATCTGCAGAGTAGGCAGGCAGACTAGAAACCCAGCAAGAGTTGACATTGCATCTTGAGTCCAAAGGCAGTCTGGAGGCAAAATTCCTTCTTCCTCCAGGGACCTCAGTCTTTTCTCTTAACACCTTCAACTGATTGAACACGATCCACCACATTATGGAGAGAATTTACTTTACTCAAAGTGTATTGATTTAAAGGTTAATCTCTTTTAAAAAAATGCCATCATAGTGACTTTTAGATTGGTGTTTGACCAAATATCTGGGTGCTATGGCCTAGCCAAATTGACACATAAAGTTAACCATCACCAGGCTTCCCTGGTGGCTCAGTGGTAAAGAATCCACCTGCCGATGCAGGAGACACGGGTTCGATCCCTGGTCCAGGAGCAACTAAGCCAGGCACCATGACTACTGAAACCCATGTACCCTAAAGCCTATGCTCTGCAACAAAAGGAGCCACCATGGTGAGAAGTCTGTGCACCGCAACTGGAGAAAAGCCTGCTCGCAGCAAGGAAGAGCCAGCACAGTCAAAAATATAGAAATGAAAGTAGTTTTTTTGATTAACCATCACAGAGTGGGATGTATGTAAGGACCATAGGTGGTGTGAAAGCCAGACTTGGATGATTCTTGAGCAGTCAACCAGCAGAAGACTATAGGGGCATATCTGGCAGTTTGGAGACAACACCACCCCATCATCTTTACCCCAAGGTCACCAAAGACAACACATTTACCTCACCCCCCCTCCATCTTCTTGTGGCTGGTACTTCCTTCCCAGGAAGCCAAGTCCCACCTTCTGATGTTTACACTTGCTCACCCACCCTGATCGGAAAAGCAGGGGACCCTGGTGTTTTGCTTGCTTATTCTATAGCCAGGAACCCAGACAGCACAAGTCACGTTTTGCATTTTATAAAGCCCAGGTAAATAGAAAGGAAATTTCATTTTCAATTTTGAGGTCTTTTAAAGCAACTCATATTTTCTCTTTTAGGTCGAAATAAGTAATGACACTGACTCTGAAACGCAGCTGCTGAACTTGACTTAGGAAGCAAAGCACCACTGACAGCACTCTCTGCATCAACACGTCTCACTTCCTTCCAGACGGGTGGACCGCACCTCCCTGCTTCTCCACGAGTCACGGAGTTCTCCGGGCACAGCCTACGTATTATTAGCCTTGTTTGCTAGATGAGTTGTAGGTGCTTGGGTGGGTATATTTTTAGTCGTTTCCTTCTTAAAAGAAGACTTGTAATTTGTACCCCCAAAATCGGTTTTTAATTTTTTAACAATATTTAATGTGAGGCATGCGACATGAAAAAAACATTCTGTGAAAACCTTCCACAGTCAATTCTAAGAGGAATGTGGGTTCGTGTAGTTGAGGTGTCAGGTCCCCATTGCTGCCTGCAATGACCCCAGACCTGAAAGAGTTCACATGGTAGACGTCACCTGGGGTTTCTCAGCAGCAAGTTAGATGCCATGACAGCTGATCAATGGATGCAGAGAGTGGATCAGGCTTTCAGACTGAGTATGGATCAATTGTTCACCCCCACCAGACAAAACAGGGAGTCCTCCTTTGTTCTCAACTTTCCAAAACCCAGAATAATTGTATGGCAATCTAAATGTTCAGATGTGTGAATGACATCTTGCTCTTCCTGTGTTCTGAAAAATTATATATCTTGGGTGTAAGAAAGAGTGAAATGACCAGTAGAACATCTTTGCCCTTTGGAGGGAATCTGGGTATCTCTGAGGTTCAGATTTTCTACCCTTTATCCCAGACCTGCCATTGGCACCCAGACCTAAATATACAGCTTATAGGTTCATGGGACAGAAATCACAACCTTAAATCTGCAATCAGAAGTGTTGCTCTTAATATATTCCAAAAAAGTATCAAAATGGCATGGAGTTCTCTATATACTTCTAAAGAAGTATATATACTTCTATTGGTTCTACATCAACTTTTCTTTCTTCTAACCTATTCTAATAACCAAGAAAGTAATATGGGAAGCATAATTTTCTATGGAAGAAAAGGACTCTCTTGAAAATGCATCACATTTTTTTTTTCCATTCTTATCTTTCAATTACTATTTCCCATATCAAAATAAGCTTTGCTCATTTTGTGCAACAACCAGGATTGGTCCTCCTAGAGGCCGTGAAATTGGGTACATGCACTACTTAATCCAGAAGTTGTTAACCTGGCCCATGAACCTCTAAGTCAGTCTACAACCCATCTTAAATGGTGTCTACTTTTTTGTATCTATGTAGAGGCTTTCGTTTCCTACTTCTTCTTCCAAGTCCATATATCTTATGAGATCGCCTTAAGACTGAGAATTTATGCAATAAAGTCCACCCTGGTTCATGACAAACAGCGTGGGCTTTCTGGAGGCCTGCTATACTCACAGCCTCCTCTGGACTATGTCTCCCATCAGTCAGCTGACATCCACTGAATCCCATCAGTTCTCATTCCACTGAATAAACCAAATTCAAAATGAACAGGAGGTAGCAGAGAAAAACCAGTCCAAGTCGCCTTGTACAGTTGAGGGAGGTGAGTCCTCAGGGATTTGCTGATGTGTCCAGAGTCCTGCTGTGTCCCAAGGGCATGTTTTGTGGTGGCGCAAGGAAGGAGAAGCTGGAGGACAAAGACAGGGAGGGGGGTGGGGTATGGCCTTGCAGAGTGTTGACATCTCAACCCTAGAGAATTCCTGTAAGTATAACAACAATCCCTCCCTCCCAAGGGTAAGGTGAGGATTAGTTGGAAATGTACCACAATTAAAAGAGGCGGTTCTCACTGTCAGGTCAGAACAAGTTGGATCCTGTCTAGAGCTCTTGCTACCCATTCAAGTAGTGTGAAAACCCCATGCAAACTCCGAACTCTTCCAAGTTTCCTAAAAAATAGCTTGAAAAACTTGCCCGTATTTAAGAGATTAGAAATAATATTCACTAAACAGCGCATTTCTTAATTTACAAGTAATTTTTACCTTCAAATACAAGATGAATACATAGTATTACTAGGGAGGAAGCTAATAGAATATAAAAAATGTAGAAAATCAGTAAGACAGAAGAATAAAATTAACATTTAAATATTTTAAACTGTCATTTCATCATCCCCTCCACACATACACACACACACAAACAAAACACAGTGAACATTTCACAAAATATTACCACACTAACTTGCGTTGCCTTCATATAAATTTGAACGTACTTCTACAAAGCACTTCAGAGTCCTAGATCTTGTCTAACTGCAGATTTGAGGAGGAAATCCTTGTAATAGTCATCTTTCTATGTATATTCAATATATGGAACTACTTGATATGGTACGTGTGTTTTTAGTTTTTAATCTTTCTTCATTGAAGTTATCACTGTTTCAGACCCCATCCCATCAATTCATCATGATAATTCTAAAGTTCCAGAAATGCTGCCATTCATCAGAAGCAAGCCAGATAGGTCTCCTGTCTGCTGCCCCTCCCCTGGAGTTCCTCTGTACCTCTCCTGGTCCCACCAGTCTTCAGAAGTTATGCTTACTTAAGACCAGTGGATGAAAAGATGCACAGGCTTTGCAGTAACAGTCAGCAGCCACCCCTTGATCTGGGTAATTCCGACACACAACTGTCAAGCTTGCTGCCTCTCTGTTGTTCTTTGCGACCCCTGGACTGTAGCCCTGGACTAGACTCCTCCATCCATGGAATTTTCCAGGCAAGAATACTGGAGTGGGTTGCCATTTCCTTCTCCAGGGGATCTCCCCGACCCAGGGATGGAGCCTGCATCTCCTGCATTGGCAGGAGGATTCTTTACCGCTGAGCCACCAGGGAAGCCCCTTCCTGCCTCTTAGAAGTGAGCATTTCCAGCTTTTGCAGCTTCCTGTTTTAGGGAATCCATGCCACACCGTGCATCACACGGCAGCACTTTCAACAAAGACATGTTCCCTGTCATGTACGTTCCTGCCTCATCTTGACTTCTCTGTATGCAAGTGTGTGTCTGGTCAAAGTGAGGGAAAATGAACATGTATTTTTAGCCTGGGTCCATTGGGTAGAATTTCCTCATCCTAGAAGATAATCCAGCTCCAGGTTCAAGCACTCCTCTCAGAAATGGCCCCAGTAAAGCTGGAGATGGGACACCCAGTACCCATGAACGCCTTAGCAGTTCTCACTGTCCTGAGCGCTGATTAGAATAGCAATGGGGAAATTTAAAAGCACTTTAATTTTCCCTCTTTGAACCATCCTAGCATTGTGTCTTGTGAGCTTTGTCCACCCCTACCCCAGACTGCGTCTTCCATCTTGCATCAGTGACTTTTCCTTTCATAAGTGTCTTCTGCTGCCGTTGTGCAGTTAAGATGTTTTCTAATTTACTTTCAAGGGAGCAAAAGTGAAGCAGGGGACTTACCGCAGAGGAGGGGCTGAATTAGAAAATTCCTGAGACACAATACATAGAGGGTGTGGAACAGCCTCAGACAGATTTCTCTGATTTCCCTTTATCTGCCTGGAGTTTGAGCAGAAAGATGCAGAAAGGGCTATTCCCCTGCTGCTCATGTTCATCCAACACCGGGTCAGTTTCCAAAGGTCACAGTGCAGATAATGATTCAGCGTTCTTTATTTTCTACTGTTCTTATAGAATCTGGTTTCTTCTCAGTTGCATTGAAATGTAATCTTAAAGACTTCTGTTTTCTTCTCTGCCTTTGTCCAAGGATAGAGAAGCACCTGGGAAGGCTGGAATAAAGTGAAGATATTATAAAAAAAAAAAAAAAAAAAAAGGAGAAATTTCTCTTAGGAAATACTTCTGTTTTCTTCTCTGCCTTTGTCCAAGGATAGCAAAAACCACTACAATATTGTAATGTAATTAGCCTCCAAGATATATAAAAAAAAAAAAAAAAAAAAAGGAGAAATTTCTCTTAGGAAAAACTCTAAGATAGTACATACAGAAGTGTCTTAGCCTGCCACCTGCTGTACAACGTCAGGGTATGTGTCCCTGAAACAAAAACTTGTGTCCATCACTCCAAGCTGAGAGGCTGTTGGCTTACCTGTTTTGAAGATAACTTGACATCCTGCCTAGGAAAACACTGACTTCATTCTTTTTCCCTCCAGAAAAATAGGCCCTACTATTTCCTATAGTGGTATAGTGGCGCTAGTGGTAAAGAGCCCACCTGCCAATGGCGGAGACATAAAAGACATGAGTTCGATCCCTGGGTCATGAGGATCCCCTGGAGGAGGGCATGGCAACCCACTCCAGTATTCTTGCCCGGAGAATCCCATGGACAGAGGAACCTGGCAGGTGACAGGCCATGGGGTCACAAAGAGTCGGACATGACTGAAGTGACAGCACATAGCACATATTTCCTGTAGACCTAGGTAAGGGAGGCAGCCAGTTTTAAGAGGCTGAATCTAGCAAACTATGGCAAGACTACCATCTGTCTCTCTTAATGGATGAACCACTCATGATTGAGATTGGTGTTGTCTTCATCAACACCAGCTGAAATATACATTGCAAAGCTGGAGAGAACCATCGTGATTCAGCTAAACTGGGGAGGAAGTAAAAACCAAAATTGCTCATTTCAGTCTTTGCAAATTAGAAAGGAATCCTGCCAAGAATAAACAGATCTTCACTTCACACCTAATTTTAAAATGTATAGTGTCCCAAAATATGGATTCAGTACGGAGTAAACATTCTGGCTAAGTATCTCTCAAAGGAAATACTCACTTATCATTTCAGGGTTACATAGTATGTAAATAGGAGAACTTCTGCAGTTGATTAGAATTCAAATGTTCTGACTCGACCTTTTAGCCCATGTTAGTAGCTCTTGTAATGGATAACTGAATTAAGTAGGAAACAATATCAGTAATTGATCTTTTTTAAACTTAGAATGTCTCTTTTTCTTATTTCCTTCCTGCTTAAGAGTCATCTGTAACCTTTGCTGGATTGAAGGTCTACCTATGTTCCCTGTTCAAATATTCATGATAAATAAATAAGCCTGTAACTCAAGGATGTTACGCCCAAAAGTAGAACTGATAAAGGGAATCACTGCTCACATAACTGCATAGTGTGTAATGAAGAAAGGGAGTGAATGTATCTGAAATATTAGAAGAATGTATTTATTAGTAAAGAATTCTTCAAAAAACCATTCTCAAAAAATTCACAATTTGTGGGCAGCATTGCTCTCTTCATCCTGGAAAAGCTTAATTTCTTTATTGTGGGCTAAGTGGGAAAAAAAAAACTCCATTACTCGAAGGTAGGTAAGTCTTCTTAAATATGGATATCTGTAGAGAAGTTTGGTGCCAAGTGATACATAAATCATCTTTCATGGAGTTGCAAGCATATAAAGAGCAAGAAATACATGAGACACTGAAGTATTCAAAGAATTCCAAGTATGTTTTGGCCTGAACCTGATAACTATATTAAGTAAAAAGAAGAAGGAGAAATAAGAAGAAAAGAAAGGAAGGAGTAAAGAAGAAAAGAAAGAGAAAGAAAGAGGGGGGAGGAAAAAGGAGGGAAGAATTCAAATCTGAAATTCTACCTAGTTTGGATTTGGACACATCAGTCCTTAACTTGGGGTCATTGTTGTTGTTTCTTTGAGTGACTGAACGCTTGGACCATTTTGCATTTAGCACACACTTTTCCTTTGCTCTCTAGAATTAAGTTATTTTTATAACAGTTTGAAGAAACCAATTATCTCGTTATTCTCACATAATTGCTTTGGCAGTCAACATTGTCAGTCTATATTTGTTAGGATTAGGGTTACTTAGGGCTTCCCAGGTGGCTCAGTGGTAAAGAATCTGCGTGCAATGCAGGAAACCTGGGTTTGATCCCTGGGTCGGGAAGATCCCCTGGAGAAGGGAATGGCTACCCTCTCCAGTATTCTGGCCTGGAGAATCCCGTGGACAGAGGATCCTGGCGGGCTATGGTCCATGCGGTCGCAAAGAGTCGGACACAACTGAGAACTGAAGAGCCGCAGCAGTAGCGTTACCTACAAATGACAGGAAAGGAAAACGGCAGTGACTTCAGTAAGATCCAGGTCTACATCTCTTCGTATTTCAAAATCCTGGAGATAGTCAGCAAAGAGCTGGGCTTGGCTTCCCTAGAGACAGGGACCCAGGCTCCTCCTCTCTCATTGCTTCAGTATGTCTCCTGCCATTCTCAGGATCATAACATGATTCTAGATGGCTGCCAAAGTTCCAGCCATTGTTTGTGTATTCCAGCTAAAAAGGGGACAGAGAATGGTGCTTCTTTCACTTAAGGGTGTGTCTCACATGTTACACACACTACTTGGTTCATCCCAAGTTCAGCTGCAAGGAAAGCTAGAAATTGCAGTCTTTATCGGTGGTGGCCTTGTGCTCATTTAAAATTTAGGGGTTTGATTTCCTCGTAACAAAGGGAAATGTATACTGAAGAATGTTTGGCAATCTCTGCTATACAGTTCAGACTAGTGGGCATGGTTTTTTGGAAGAATATTTTCATTTACTTTGATTACGATGCATTGTAAAAAATGCATATATTCTTCAATACTGTGAGGAATTATCAACTCTGTGGAATGAGAATTTCTACCTCATCTTTCTGCCTTTCTTCTTAGAAATAAAATAATAAACCTATGACACAAGATCCTTCTATGTTTCCCATAATTCTGCAGAATATATTTTAACTTTCCTTCTCTGGAAATTAAATTGCAATCTAATGTATTGCTTGGTTCTCATTGTTCTGCTACAAACATACATTAATTCTTCTATGATCATAACTCTTCAACTCTTATTGTGGCAGCACCTTTTCTTCTGATTTGATTGGATGTGCCATTACTTTCTTTTCATTCGCCAAGTATGTAATGGACGTTGGTGATTAAGGAGATGGGGAAGGACATTCAAGTGAAAAATATATGACCCTTCCTTTTCTGTTATTTTCTCTCAGTAAAAGTTGGGCTTTCCTTTCAACCTCTAAGAACATAATATTGGCTAGAGACAAACGGGTACAGTCATCCTCTGTATCCATGAGAAATTGGTTCCAGGAGCCCCCACAGAAACCAAAATCCTCGAAGCTCAAGTCCCTTAAATAAGGTGACACAAACAATAAAAACAGTCACCCCCCCTCCCCGTTCCTGCACCAACACTCCAGATGGGCAGATGCGGAAACCCGTGGAGACAAAGAGCAGGGTGTATTTTAAACTACTTGGTAGTCTGTTTCTCTAAGAATAAATACAGTTGAGGGAAATCATAAACTGTTTTTGTAATTAGATTTTATCATATGTTCCTCCAAGACTCTGTGAGTCAGTGTGTGTGTGTGTGTGTGTGTGTGTGTGTGTATGAATGAGTGACAGGGAAACAGAGAGAAACCTTCCAGGTACTACTCATTAAACAATATTCCTCGAAATGATTTCTGTTGCTGAAAAGTGTTATAGTCCCTCACACCTTGTACCTGCAAATCTGGCTGCTGACACTGATCACCAAGATAAGATTGGTTCACTTATCCATGCTGAACACACCCATATACACACCAACTTCACTGAGCACATCCTTTTTTAAATAATGTACCATGTGGCCCATGTTCCTGAAGGATAAATAGTATAAGATTGTTTTAGGGATTGAGAGTTAAAAGAAGAAAGATGCCTGAGACAATATGTTCTTTTCTCTGCAAGATCAGGCTGTTGCCTTGAAAGGACCTTAGCAATTGGTTTGCTCAGTTGAGGGATGAGGAGACAGATGGAGGGTGGTAGCTCAGAGGCTTGCCCCTCCTCCCACCCGGTCTGCTAGATAAGCTATTGGTCCAGCCTTCTTTTCTTTCCATTGGGTGGTCATTGTCTATCACGAGTCTGGACTGAACCATCCCTTGGCTGTTGACGGAAATCTTACGAATTATTTTCATCTGGGCTCCTGCTGATGGCTCCTTCCACTCCACCTTTCCTCTGCCTGTATCTGAGCGTCAGCAAATCCCAACCAGTGGCCTTGCCTCTTGTCATTTTGTCTTCACAGGACCAAAAAACATCTCAGACCTCAGATTGCTGCTCTTCACTTCCCAAAAGACAGAACTGCTCTGTCCTGCCTCCCTTCTTCTTTCTTTATTCTAAAGAAATATGATTCTATCTGCCCCAGTCGAGCCTTTTGCTTTTTTTGTTAACCAATAGTTTCCTTTTGACTACAGTACCAGATATCAGGCTCTTCTCAAGACTTTCATTCCCAAGGAAGTGGTTTTGTAAATAATTGCTTCAGGTCACTTTTTAACTGCCTCATATGGTTTCCTTTCTTTTAAACCTCTTTTTTAAACCTAAACTAGCAGTCATTGAATGCACTCTTAACAGAATAGTTTTCTGGGGTATCCTATGTAAAATGAAACTAAGAGCCTTGTCATTGAAGTTAGTACACTGCAGCACTCAGACCATGATGGTACATGTAGAATATTCTACATGTGAATAGTAATCAGCTTCTGCTTCCCTCATCATAACTTGCCTTGTGTTGAGCAGACTTTTCTTTGCATTGTCCAGGGTATTTATTATTCTAAACTGTCACGTTTAACCCATGTATTCAACCAATATCTAGAAATATTTATTTAGGTCCTTCTATGGCTTTTCTTTTTTGTCATCACTCTAAGTAAGAAAATTTGTTTCCTGTGCTAAATATTTTAAAGCAAAATATAATATATAGAGCACCAGGTTCAGTAACTTTAGACATTGGAATCTGGGGCAAGTCATATGGCATGCTTGTTTTTATAGGGCAAGCAAAACTCATTAATTCCACTTTATTTATTATTTTTAAACCACTTGTTTAATGTGGTAAGTTAAGGGGAAAAAAGATTGATCTTTGGGTTTTTTTTTTAACATCACAAAGAAGAGCCATTGATTACTCAAATATCCAAAGTTCACCTGGAAATCGAAATCACTTTGCCGTCAGGAAAGTTATTTTTGTGCTCTCAGGCTTACAAGGACTTGGCTCTGAAGTCTCTGAGCCTGAGTCACATTGGTCCCATCAATCTTTGTCAAGAAGGAAGTTTCAAGGGAGGGTCGAGAAGGGGGTCTTCCGATCCTGTTTTATTCTTTCTTCTTTTGCTTCAGGGCCCATGGCGGTCGACTCTCCTTGAATAAAATAAATTCTGCCTGATCTTCACATTTCCATATCTGTAAATATGGGGCCACAAGATAATTAAAACCTCTTAAGAAATGTGGAGAGATTTCATTAAAGCTCCCCTGCAAATCTAAGACACCATATGATGGATGCTTAGGGTAGCACAGGATCTTCTTAGCATCCATGACAACTGTAATAATGTTATGTTCCTATGTTCTCATAAAGACATAGATACTCCAATTTCCTCCTATATAACTCAAAGGGAATTTGGGCATTAGCACTTCAAAATACTTCCAAGTCCTTAGAGGAATATTTGAAGTGAAAAGTACTAATTTTCTAAAGCAAAATACATCTTATTCTCTTTCCGAATAATAAAGTTATTTCTCATCTCCCGATAGAAATGCATAGGTAAGAACTGCTGCTGAGACCGTCCCGATCTGAAAACACTAAGGAATTTCTGCCATTATAGGTAGAAAGGCAAGAAAACATTGTCTTCTCAGCGCACTTTCCTTTCCGATTTTTTCTGAGACTCCTTAATCTGAAACACGAACTCTGCTACCTGGCAACCTCTGCCCACAGCAGAACTAAGAACCAAGGAACAAACAGAAACAGTCTCTGACTACCCCAATAAACATTACAAAACCCACGCTCTGAAACGCCTGAGTATTTCCGATAGAAAAGCTCTTCAACCCTCTTTTTAAATCCTATTGACTCAATTTACACACGATTCTAATTATTTTCATGACATTTTCATGCCATGACATTTCATGTATTTTTCAAGTAAAAGTAGAAAATTAAACATAGGTATTGTATACAATATGCAGAAATACAATAATTTAACATATTCTCCCAAACTAAAAGAACTGAGATAGAGAACTAATGTAAAAAATTCTACAGCACAGCTGTCTGGAGACATTTAAGGTAAGAATGAATACACTTAGTAGAGTCTGTGGGTAACATTGTTATTGCTTCCAGGAATAGCATTTTGTTCATACAGTGATAAATCCAGATTATCAATAAAAACATTTATTGTAAATTAGGAACCCCTTAGTCAAAATACTGTCCTTTCATTTGTCCTAAAATTATAGTATTGATTTTTATTTATTTACTTTGTCATCTACTGGAAAAATTTTCAAATAACCACACAGATCTTCAATGTCTGTAATTTGAATGGAAACACTTTAAATGTGGCACTGCTGTGCTCTGTAACCTACACAACTTTATACACTGGCCCTGTGGTGAATAAGTTCTTCTTAAATAATTGGGTACATAAATTTTATTTCAAAAAACTCACCATCCAAAATGGTTAAAATAAAGACACTTGGGTATTCAGAAGGTTAAAGTCTCAGTAACATCAAAGATATCCCCTGAATATTCTGAATGGAAGCCATGTTCTAATAAGATTCTCTCTCTGGGGAAAAAAATGAAGAGATTTTCAAGATTGTGGTTCTTGGTATTAGTTCTCTGGCATAATCCCCTTCAATAAATTTTCTTCCACCTTGTGGTTCCCAAATTATCTCTTCTATTAGAATGCCCTGATATTTTCAGTTGCAAGGATAGCAAAGTCCTGGCAATGTTTCGCAGACAAGGGAAGCTTTTGCAGAAAGCACGACTGTAGCAAGCTTTTTTCCATGGGAGGGGTTACCCTCCTTCTCCGTTTGCCAAAACAGACTTCTTCCTGGTGCATCCTTGGCCTATCAGAGCTCTTCTTTCTGATAACAGCAGCATATAGCAAACTGGGATGTGTTGTTACTTTTTCATTCATGGAAAGTCTGATATGCACCTTGGTGTATAAAATTGACAATGTCTAGAAGATACTCCTGCTCTTGAAGTTTCTCTGCAGGTAGGGACCACACTAGCATTTGGTACACCAGCTCCTTGAGAGAGACAGGACTAGATGACCTCCTTGAAGCCGCACCAGCATCCCCAGGTGTCTAGCTACAGCTGCTGCTTCCTTTCAAAACACACCTCTTAGCACCTGCTGCGTGTGATGGTCTGAGTGGGCACTAGAGAGATGAAGGAAGATCATAACAGGGTGTGCCCACAGGGAGCTCACAGTCAGGATTATGAAGAAGAGTATTGACCTCACAACCCTGAACCAATGCCTGCTGGTACTCTGCACAAGCCAGACCCTCACAAGGTGAGGGGGCTGGGACTTTGCTTCCTCCAGATTCCAGGTCCCAGCTCACAACCTCGCTGTTTCTGCCTATGACTCAGCAAAGGCTTAGCATCTACTTTGCGCAAGAAGCCAGGGTAGTAACAAAAACAAATACACATCTTTGCCTTGAGAAGTTTACAGAAGAAATCCCAATAGCTTTCAGGTAGCCGGTAACTGGCTTTCTTGGGGTCCAGCCTCTAAAAAGGATACCTGTCCACACTATCATACCGAGGTTTCACTAGCCAAGAGGCTGCCCCTTCCATCTGGGCCAACCTGTGCCATCTTTTCTGTTGTGACTCTGGATGAAAAGAGTAAAATGGACCAAATGAGCCCCCTACCACTCACAACCTGAATCACAAATGCCAGGACTGCAATCACCCACCTCAGACAAACCAAAGCCAGTCTGAAGGGCCTCTGAATTCACATCAAAGCTCCTCACAATCAAAAGCAATCACAGTTGCTACTCACTCAAGTGATTTTCTTGCTTCATCTCTGATGATCCGAGGGTGGTAGCATAGTGTTTCTAGTCTGACAGATCACTGTTTAAATAAAATGCAGAGCAGGCAATAAAGGGGCTCCATAAAGGAGGAAATGCAAGGTGGAAAGCATTGGTGCAGAGATGACACAACATGTAATTGTTTCTTTGGTATTATTTCTAACTAACTCGATATTATTATTTACTGAAAGCAGCAGAGCAGTACTGAAATGGTGAGAATGCCTCTAAGTCTCTTTATCGCTGTGACTAACAGAATCCAAGTTAGTCTGTCCTCACATTAGTAACATCAACTCTGCCATCTTATGGAGAATATGGGAAGTACTTAAAGCATTTTGCTCTATTTCAAAGGCAAGGATCTGCTGGTAAGAGGACAGAAGGACATGGCCTGTGTATTTCTACATGTTTTTAACCTTTCAGATTTTTTTAAAACATCATAAAAAAAAAACCTTTCAGTCTTAAACGATTCTTAGATTACTTGCCAACCAATGTGTATCTCAGTCTCAACACTTCAACTTCGTGTACAAATCTTGGATAATATTTTGTACCAGTATGAATTTCTACTGCCCCCTAACACTGTGTAGTGACTTCATTGTATATTAACTTCTTTTCTACAGATCTCTGAGCTACCAGGTGAATCAATGGAAAAAGTCGAATTCTGTTAGGAATCATCCTATATGATGTTGGTAGCCTGTGAAAAATGAATGTCTTTTTTCTTATACAAACTAGTAACAAGACTTGTTTTCACAATTCCTTTTTACATTTTTGTGCATATAAGACCTGTATATTATACTCATATTCTAAAGTGACCAGAAAGTGTTATTTAATAGAAACTGCATACATTTTTTTTATGTCTCTATGGACCCTTTGACTCTGGAGACTCTTATAATAAATTAGCAGTATAATAGGCTATTGTTTTCAATTATGAATAAAAATGTACATTGAAGTAAAAGATGACTACTGTTTTTAAAAAGATTTTTCCCCATTCCAATGTGTATTCATTATAATAAAATTAGGAAAGGCATGCATCTTGTATGTTCCTTCATTCTTCAGATGGGGTAAGTCCTTTCAAGGGATAAGTCCTCTCTTTCATACACAGGTGAAAGTTACACCTCAGGCTACCTGACTGTAGGAAACACAGTCCTTCCCCATGTATTTCTGAGCATCCCTTGGGAGGGTTTACATGCTCTACCCATCCACACAGGTGCTGCCTGGGGGGCTCCTTGCAGACAGCTGCTCTGGGCCACTCTGCCAGTGACCCTAACTTTCTGGTAACTTCTCTCATCCTCACAGTTCACTCCAGGCAACCTCTCTCCAAAGCAGGAACTCAGGCTCTCTTTTATTTCCTAAGCTAAGCCGAAACAAACCTTTGTAATGAATACATTTTACTAAGGTTTGATGATAAATCAGAGAATTCCATTCCAGAAAGTGTAGCAGTGAAAAGGAAAAAGAGGAATGAGTTTTTTCTTTCCCTTCTCTGAGAATAAAGAAGACAGAGAGAACAGTGAGCAGGACTGAACATTCCTAGCTTGTTTTTACTTTAACTGCTCCTAACTAGGCATGTCTGTAACAAAGTTTGCTTTTCTGCCCCCGAAGGCTGCAGGAGCTTCATTTCTCACCTGTTATCCTTTGCTCACCCTTACAACACCCTCTTCCCCTTGTAGTTCCTCTTTTTACGTATCACAGTGAAGGTTGCAGAGCCCGAGAACTGCCAGGATCAATTACTGGGTTACAGACACCAGTCTGTGACTGCTTCTGAACAGGATCCTAACACCTTTGTTCCTCACCACCAACTCCTGACTGTGAGCCCTCATCTTATATAATAAGCCGCTAGACTCCTCATGGAGAGGGGGTACAGTTCTTGAGGCATGAATCTACTGTGTTCCCCTCTCCACCAGCTGAGAATTAAAGCCACCTTTCTATTACCTCCAAACTCTGTCTCCATAATTTTTTATTCGGCTTCAGTGGGCAGAGAAAGCCAAGATTTTGGTGGGCAACAAAAGAGAAAGCTTAAAGGTACATCTCAGGGATCTCCCTGGTGGTCCCAGCGGTAAAGAATCTGCCCTGTGATGCAGGGCATATGGGTTCAATCCCTCCCATCCCGGGGGCCGTGGAACAACAAAGCTGCTACTATACCACAACTAAAACCCGACACAACCAAATAAATAAATAAATAAATAAAATTTTTTAAGTGCATCTCAAGGTACCAGAGGCCCTGGAGTTGTTCTAAAATCAACTTCCCTGGAGAAGGGTGGCCTCGGGGGGGCCCCTTCTTCTTAAACTCCCACCTGCTCCCTCCTTCCTTCCCAGAGACCTGCCCACTGTTGATTTCTGTGCTGTTTCTGGGTCGGGTTACCAAAAATACCTTCACCCCACCTCAATCAGGAAGTAAAATCTCTTTAACATCAGAGTAATCTTCAGAGAGATTATTTAAGACAATGCTGTTAAATAACAGTATTGAAATAACATTGTATAAGAGAGTATTAAGCATCTGGCCTGAAGCCTGTGCCCTGGGATTCTGTCCCCAAGTCAGGCTTCACCAAGAACAGTGAGTCAATTTGACTGGAACTGACTGGTAAGCAACTCATGTTTTGAGTTCATCCTCAGAAAAAAAGAGGGAGGGGCAATGGGATACATGGGAACTCTACTTTTGCAATATTTCTGTAATTCTAAAAATAAGTTTATTTAAAAGGTGAAGAAAGGGCTTGTTTTAGTGGTATAATCCAGATTCTACCCTCAGAGATGAAAATAAAACAACCTAAAAAATAATGTTTTTCCCCTTTTCCATTTGTCCAAAAAAAAAAAAAAGGAATATAGTCAAGTCTCAGAACCCCCGGAGGCTTACAAGCAAAATGAAGAAAAACTGAAATTGCTAATCTTATTGCGTTTTCCCTTAAATAGACATTTAAATTCTTATGCTTCCTAGCTGGACACATAGAAATCATGTAAAATATTCTTATAACCTAGTCATGGCAATGAATTTTTTTTCAAGATCTTTTTGATGTGGCCCATTCTTTTTAAATCTTTATCGAACTTGTTACAATACTGCTTCTGTTTTATGTTTTGGTGTTCTGGTCAAAAGCATGTGGGATCAAACCCACATCCCCTGCATTGGAAGATGAAGTCTTAACCAGTGGACCACCAGGGACGTCCCACAGCTGTGAATTTAAGCAACAGACGAGCATGTATCCTTTCCCTACTCTAAGCATATGCTGAATTTTACTTTTTGTCCATTTTTTACATGTGTGAAAATAGCTCAAGTATCATCTCTTAGTCCAGCTCTCCAATCCCGCTGCTGCTGCCATGGGTCTTTTAATTTAACAGCCTCCATAGGGAGCTTAGAAACATGTTTCCCTAAAAATTCTGCTTTCAATATAGTTCTAAGTAATAAACCTGACATTGTTTTGTTACCCTACTTAAAATCGTGAAATATAAAAAGTGAGATCCAAACTCCTCGGCTTGGTATGTAAGATCTTCCATTATCTGACCCATCTACAGTATCAGCCTCACCTCATACTATTCCCGTTTGCATACCTTCTATGTTTCTTTCATGCTTTTGCCCATATGTTTCTCCTGCCTTCTCTTGCTTCTATTATTTGGGAGCCCTTTACTATAAGTAGAATGCTCATATTGCCTTGAAGTCTATATATATTTTTACTCAAACTTCAAGACCCAAATCAAATGTTATTTCCCTAAAAACCTACTCAACTTATAGTTATGGAGCACTTACTATGTCAAAGATTCTGAATCTCCTTGGCAGACTTAGTGTTTCTATACTCTAAAAATTTTGATCCTCCTTCTGTAATTACATGTTGAACCCTAACTACACCTACTACACTGTGAGCTTTCTCAGTGTTTTATAAATATGAATCGTGTTAGCCTTTCTGGCCATCATATGACCCTGTTTATTCCCATTAATTACCTGGAGTTATAAGGTTAAAGTCCCCCCTCAACATATGCTACTACGGCTAAGTGAAAATGCCCCAACCTGCCTCTACTTTAAACCCTCCAATAGGTTTATTAGACTCAATTTCAAGTACTTACATTGACTCTTCTTATTAAACTTAATTTTGTTAGATTCAGTCAATCATTTGAATATGACTATATACTTTTAAATTCAAATTTTTTTAAACCAAACTATATTGGTTATTCTTCTCAGATTCATGTGACTTACAAAATGCTCAAATGTCTTTTTACCCAGAGGCTACAAATTGTTGAATAAGGCAAGTTAGACAGTGATTACTGCCAAATTATCACGCTATTCCCATCAGGCGGGCTTCAAATGCCTCCTGAGAATCTGGGATGATGCACTACTTTTAGGTTAAGTACCATTCTGAAAGCCAGATTCATCATTTTCTTGATCTCTCTAGAGTAGTCTAATACATTAATTTTATGAAAAAGAAATAATATATCTGACTTGAATTTATGTTAGTTGTTAAAGACCACAATTGATTTTTACAAGATTTTATAAGTTACATCTTAGCGTCTTCCTTGGGATTGTCACTAAATGCATCAGTTTAAGATTTGTGAAATCTGCTTTCTTTCACTTTTTTGAAAATTCTCACATGGATGGCCCATTTTCTGGCACCTCTCCCATCCTCTGAGATCCTCCAAATTCACCCAGAGGAATGATTTTATTGCAGTTTTATTTAATCTTTCAACAAGTAGATATTGAACATTTATAATGTGCCAGACTCTGGGAGGGACACTGGTATTGGCCTTGAGCCAGACAGCCATGATTGCTCCATCCAAGGAGTTCACATTATGATTCTCTGTGTCCTTAAATGGTTATGGTCTGGGGAGTCAGCTAGATCTTTGCTCCAACTCTAAGGGCTTCAGTAACATTTACCAGTGTTTGTCTGGGAAGTCTTCCTTCTTACCAGAGACGGTGAAGAAATGCTGACTGACGGTCATTTGCAATTATATCATTTCCTAAAGACAAAGGAAAATTTCCAGGGACTTGGTCTCTAGCAGGCCTCTAGGAGCTCACATCTTGATGAGCAAAGACAAATCCAACAATCACATGGTATGTAAACTTGGAGAAAACCAATGAACACATTGAGAATGAATTCACATTATGGTTCAGTTCAGTTCAATTCAGTCACTCAGTCGTGTCTGACTCTTTGCGACCCCATGAATCGAAGCACTCCAGGCCTCCCTGTCCATCACCAACTACTGGAGTTTACTCAAACTCATGTCCATTGAGTCGGTGATGCCATCCAGCCATCTCATCCTCTGTCGTCCCCTTCTCCTCCTGCCCCCAATCCCTCCCAGCATCAGCGTCTTTTCCAAAGAGTTGACTCTTCATATGAGGTGGCCAAAGTATTGGAGTTTCATGCCATGAACACAAAGCAGATTGATGTGGTGGAGAGTGAACAGACGTGGAATGAGTATCTTGGAGAGAGTGGCCAAGTGACACCTCTGATATAATTGCAACTGCAAAGACTGGGTTGGGAAGGAGGTGGATGCCAGCAAGGAACTTAACTGAGCCCTCCATGGCTGGAGTATAGTAAGTATGGTAGAGAAATATGAGAAAAGGCTGGGAAGTGTGGAACAGGGAGGAGTCCCCAGATTTAGAGCCTTGAAATTAAAAGACGCTTACTCCCTGGAAGGAAAGTTATGACCAGCCTGGATAGCATATTAAAAAGCAGAGACGTTACTTTGCCAACAAAGGTCCATCTGGTCAAGGCTATGGTTTTTCCAGTGGTCATGTATGGATGTGAGAGTTGGACTGTGAAGAAAGCTGAGCACCAAAAAATTGATGCTTTTGAACTGTGGTGTTGGAGAAGACTCTTGAGAGTCCCTTGGACTGCAAGGAGATCCAACCAGTCCATCCTAAAGGAGATCAGTCCTGGGTGTTCATTGGAAGGACTGATGCTGAAGCTGAAACTCCAATACTTTGGCCACCTCATGCGAAGAGTTGACTCATTGGAAAAGACCCTGATGCTGGGAGGGATTGGGGGCAGGAGGAGAAGGGGA